CTCTAATGCGGGATGCCCATCAGCGCCGCAGCGACCCGTCTGGTCTGACCGGGGAGAACCGTATACGGTCAGAGGTCTCGGCATTAAAGGGGTACTCCGCCGATTTCTTCATGGTCCCCGATTTGCTTGAAATTTTGCTAAACTCGCCAAACAACATCGCCAAAATAGTATCCCAAATATTAGGTCAAAATAATTTTTTTTCACGAAGTTATTGAATTTACCATTTTGGTCCTCACCGTGTTTTTCAAACTGAAAGTCTCTACTGGCAACAATGAAAAAGTGACGTCATTGGAAGTGCAGGGTTTCACTCTTTGGACTGTAGAATTTGTTCCCAAGTGATTTGAACCAGTTTCATGGTGTCAAATGAATGCCTTGGAAGCTCGCTCCAGTCCCCGCGCTCCAGCACGGAACACATAATTGGCATGTTCTATTTTTTAAACTGCTCGCCCGACTGGCAAGCTGAACTTCCACTGACGTCACGGCCCTGAAAAGGGCGGGTATATTTGAATGTCTGTTTTTGCATCATTTTCATTTGCCGATTTCGCAATAACTATTATGATTTTCACGATATTAAATAGCATTCCAGAAAGGGTAAAGGCCTGGGAGTCAGAAAATATAGTTAGTTGAGGTAGCTCAAAAATCGGCGGAGTACCCCTTTAATGGGAGTTTTAGCAGGTCGTTTCCACACAAACGGTTCGCCGTCGAACGCATCAACGACGCCACTGCGCATGCGCGCGCGAGTCGTTCGGGGTGTCAGGAGGCTCTTCTCGTTCGTTTCTCAAATTCCAGCCGCTGGAGTCATCACCGCAACGCAGCCAGCACCGTTCACGACTCGGGTAAAAAAAAGATGGCCGTCGGTCCGGCGACGGCCTTCGCCTACCCAGCCGAGCGTTAGGCTTAGGACAGCGGGAGGCGATTTGCCGTCCTGTTAGTCTGCTTCATTTGAGAGGTTGAACGAAATCATTTGGAGGACTGCTCACAATGGTAAGTGATCGTGAATGCTGTAAACTGCGCATGCTAGTAAATATTTGCGATCTGCGGGCAGCCTAGCTGCCGTGGCCACCGCGAGCAGACGAAATTATTTGGTTCGACGTCACACAACGTGAACGATCGTTCAAGTTCATGATGACGGCGACACACCACATACCCTTACGGTCGTTCAGATACTTTTAACTCCATCTAGCTTCGCAGTTCTTAAAGTTCCGACCGGCAAATGATCGTACGCCGGAAACACGAGCCGCCACAGACTTTCACGTTGCAGAATGTTTCACCTGTTTACTAGAAGATGGGCCCACCGTCAAACACAATCATCATCATCATTTACCCGGTTGCGCCAGTTTCACGATTCGCTAAGTTATGTCAAATTTCACGTACGGTTTCACTGAACGGACCAGCTGCACGGTTCGTGATTTCGAAACCGTGTGCTCGACAAGCAACTCGCTAAAACTTCCTAATAGAGAGTTTTAGGGAACCGTTTTCTGCACATCCGGTGCGGTGCGATGGGGCCTTCGGCACGCACTGCCAGTGTGCTAGTCTTAATTCTGCGGCAAGGCGTGCGCAGTTCGTACCGGAGGGCCCAGGCTATCGTACCATACCGGATGTGCAAAAGCAGGTCGCTAAAACTCTCCATTAAAAAGGGGGCTTCCCTGTTTCTGACGTAAACTGTTGGATTAGGACAGATGTCTGAGCGTTGACCTAGATAAGAGTTGGCGGCTGCTCGCGATGTATGCGGAAAATTTGAGATTACGCGATATCAAGCAGGATATCTGACCGCCGCCATGTCTCTCTTCGGCTGAGCAACCAGACGCAATTGTAGGCCAGCAAAAGTGACATTTAGGCGCATCCTGCCAATCCCCTTTATCTGCGCAAGGTATTGTGCGCAAAAAGCTTGTTTCAGAGTTAAGCTTGCACTGTTGCTCACCCCCCTCTTTTCGGGCCTACACTCTAAAAAAAAAGTCCGTGCGTTTTCTTTCCCGCAGAACAAGCGAACAGCCAATCACTGCTGTCCGCGGAATCAGCTCAGCGAATGACAATGCCGAAACATATGTTTAGACCAAAAAGCATAGTCTGCTATATATTATCAAGCAATGCAAGCGTGACGTTTTGCATTGCTTAATGCTACTTCGCATGTTCTTCGGGAAAGAAAACGCACAAGCTTTTTCTTAGAGTGTATAGACCTGTTTCTCTCGGCCGGGGGGCGCGAGTGGGCTCGTTAGACGCGATAATGTAATGTAATAGACCTTTCTGGAAAATCCAGGAGACTTGTGGAAAAGAGAATTGTGTGACTATTCTGACGTACTCTAGTGCCTCCTCGAACGCTTTGCATATCTTGGAAGCGGCACGATTCGTTCACTCTTATCACTTAAGCTTAAAACGTACAAAAAAAAAAAAAAAAAAAAAAAAGCACGAAAGGAGGCTTTGTGCTGCTTTCCTTCTGCCTTCTCTGCGTTTCGAGATCATAAGATGCTAAACCAATGCCAACTTCGTCTTCGATTCCTGGATAATGTCACGTGCAGCACATCGGAAAGTCGCAATGCATAAAGCAAACGCTGGGGGCGCTACAGATCTCCGGAAAGGTCTTTTGCATTGAGCACAAAGCGCTTGATGCAATCATTCGTGCCTGATCAAGCGCTCAATCATGCACGAGCCACGATTGGTTACAAGCACGGTGTATGGTTACAAGCCTGCAGCGGCATTTGCTCACGCGCCGTAACAAAGCGCCTAAAAAAAATTAAGTAAAGAAAGGAAACGAAGCAGCTCGCGCTGTCGTACCAAAAATATAAGAATGATTTTATTGTAGCTTTTTTTGTTCTTGTTTTCCCCTCAAATTGTTATCCAAAAAATGAAATTTTGCCAGCTGAGCGTCCGAGAGAAACGTGAGAAAGCGCATTAACGCACCGCCAAAACGCAATTAAGAAATATTTGATTTTGCTCGCCATAGGCGTTCTCCAAACTTGACAGCTACATGCCTATTGGCCATGTGCGAGATCAAAAGCATCGCCGCGGTTGGCTTTTTACGATTGGCCAAGAGCTCACTAGGTCGTGTTTGTAGTCACCGAAAGAGCGAGAACGGCAGGGCACTTCTTCCCCGCCACCAGCACGCGCTCGTTGCCTCCGTCGAGGTTAGGCTGCGTGTGCACGCTCGAAGCCCACGAGACGGTGAAGTGCTATCAAAGGCGTTCTCATCCTGTCAGTGACATTCTGATTTCATTCATAAAAATGAGAGAAATGTCACAAGGTCAGACTCGACAATGTTGCGGTTGAACACTCGGGGACATGCGAGCTTCAGTCGTACTTTTTAGCGCACCATCGAAGTTGTCGTTCGCAACCGATAAGTAGGCAGCGTTGCAACTCCTGACGTTACGGCGAGGCAACGCTTGATCATCACATCACGAAGAGGGATAATAAGAGGGCATAACCGAAGCATCTCGACTGTAATCGTCATTGGAAGGATGAGAACGGGAGGACATTTTTCTCCGATGCCCTGCCTCCTGTACGCGCTAGTTGCCTGCCGTCGTGCTTTAGCTGGGCGTGTCCGTTCGAAGACCGGAAGCTCTCGCTGCGGGATGACTGAAAGACCTCCCCGCCCTTCTGCCGAATTACCTAAGCAACCCAAGCCAAAAGAGAAAAGAACGCTGGGAACGTAGACACATGCTCTGTACGTGATGGCGTCTGCAGCAGTAATAGTTCGAAAGTAAAAATAAATAAAAAAACAGAGGTGCTTCGCACGTAAATCTCTCAACGCCTTCTTTTGGTTAGTAACATTTCTTTCTATGCCCCCCCCCCCCCCCCTCCTTTCTCATGTAATGTGTGCCGAATCTGATAAAAGAATGTTGAAGACGGCACCAGTCTCTCACCCCTTTTGCTACAAAAATTATGTTCGAGTTAAAATTTAAAACCCTGCCTATTGGCTGAGAGCGTATTTTTAGTAGCATACCTCACGCAATGTTATGCCGATATTTATACACAATTGCAAGCGTGGCGCCCCGACTGGTGCCCCATTTAGGCGCCCCATGACAGCAATCATATGCAGCTTGCGCGTGAAGATAGCTTTGGCAAGCTTGAAATTTCACGGGCTCGTCCGCACGAGCAGAGAGATGGCGGCGGCCAGTGGCCCTGCTTGCAATCGTCTATAGTAAGTGGATGACAGGCCAAAAGTTCAGTAGATGCTCTGCCTCCTGCGCGAGCTTTCTGCCTTTCATAACACTTAGTCGCACGCGCAGCCGAAGGCCGGCAGAGGGCGACGAGCGCGTGCTGGAAGGGGAGCTTGCATCTATTGCATTATTAGCCTCTCGGCAACTATCGGCTCTTGCAGCGATTTTTGTACTTTACGGAAATACCGGTTAGAACGAATACCCCGACGTTAATGACCTGTGAAACACCCGTTCGTTTTTGACCACACGCCATCGAAGCCTCAGAAAAAATTTAATAAAAACGTTTAGCGTTCTCTTCCTCAACTTGCAGCCAGAACAAGTGGCCACGTGATCTGGAGCCGATAATATGTCGACAATGTTGATCATAGCCAGGGGCTGGGGTTGGCAAGGCACAGGACACGCACTGAGTTCCAGACATTGTTGTGGTTCGGCTATTGTTGTCATTGCAGCGATTGTACACGGGCCACTACCCGAATTCTTCTCGAGCTATCTATTATCACGAGCCCAAGTCGAGTGCCCACGCAATGCTCGGGTGCAATTTCTGAACCGCATTCAAATATCGTCACTGGAGGATACTGCAATGCTCCAGTTACGTCATCAAGTTTCGCGATTGATTGAATCAAAACGATCGTTTTTGTCCTTGAAATTACACCGCAACAAAGCAGTTGTGGCGTTGCGTGCGAGTATCCTTGAGCTCCACTAGTGCAGGTAAGCTCGTGTAAAGTAAAAAAAAAAAAATATTCCAACTTAATATCCTTGTTCCGTCCCCTTTAATGAATGAAAGGCACAAAAATTAGATCGCCTTTCTGGGGACCCAATAAACGTTTTGAACGCAATTATACTCACGGGAAAGTTCCATGACTGCCAGCAGAACGAAACAGCCAACCAGGAGCTGTCTGCTGAACACTGTTCTTCTCCAACTCGGCTGCATCGTGACGCTTCGAGCCTTCTCTGGGTCAGAAGGTTGCGCAGGCCACGCCGGGACTCGACAAGCGACGACTTCGGCTTCCTTCTGAAGCAGATAGCGAATGCGACACGGAGACGCTCTCGAATGACGTCGAGGAGATTCGGCGACGCTTCGAAGCTCACGTGGAGCGCAGGCACTGTCGCGATGGAGCTGGACAAGCCGGGTGGCGTCGCCGATCGATTATCGATGACGTCTGGAGTGGACTTGGTCGACGACGCCTGTAGATAAGCGATTGCCGGAACCAGCTGGACCGTGACGTCAGTCGGTCACGTGACCACGCACGAACCGTCATAGGCTCGCTTCGGACGGGGAAATTTTCGCAGCGATTTCGGGTTTGCTGGCGTCTCGTTCCCTATAGTAGCCGCGGCCAAACTGCTATGACGTCGTACAAATGACAGCCGGCACACACTGTCTGAGGAGCCCCTCGTACTGCAGTCCTGTCACATTGGTCATGCAAAAACTGTCTACATAGGTGTTCGAAGCATATATACGAAGCTTTCAAGACGCTTGAGGCAGGTCCGCAGATAGTTTTGTCATCATGACTATAGGAAATAGCGTGTCTTTTTCCCGATGTACGAGTAATGTTACTGCAGCTTAATTGTGTGTGTGTTTAGCCACCCCAATGAACGCCTAATGTCTTTTTTCTTTTTTTGTGCGACGGAGCAGTGGCATTTTGACCGATTCTTCGAGAGCGTTTGTCCGTCATCTATGCATTACAGGTGTTACGGCAATAAGCGAAATTTCGGGTAATTCTTTTGGCCTCATTTTCAGCCGACGTTTATCTATATGCGCCGTCTAAATGACAAAAAGAGAAAAACACGGGACAATCTAACGGCATTGAGTAACAGCCGGTAATACACGCGATAAGTGCATCTACGTGTGTTGCCGAATGCCGTCGTCTGATGCAATGGCTTCAATTTTCAAAAGGGCTTCGCCGCTGAAGCGACAAAAAGGAATCTTAAAAACTGCATGGGTCCGATCGAGATAATGAAGCCCGTTTTTTTTCTTTTCGGCCCGCATAAATAATTTATACGCGTCTGAGAAAGAAGCTGAAACTGGTTTAGATTGTGACGTGGGCGGCCGTATAGAACGCGAAAGTTTGATAACTTGGCATTACCCGGATCGAAAAACATGGGAACAAAATAAAATTTCTATATGAACCGACGTCCACCTGAGCCTAAGCGATTTCAGCGGTAACTAGCGAGTAAGTTTTTCTTTAATATTAGAAGTATATATGATAAGAAAACGTGATGATTTGTGCTCAGTGATTGATGTTTGTAACGCGGATTTATACGAGGAACGATCAATGAGTTTTGGTCTCCTAGGCTGTAACTTTTTAAAATCAATAATGTAATTGAAAGATGTTAAGTTCCAATGAAAGTTCGATGTCCCCCCTTTCCCAGGAGCACATAACTTGTCGATGTAGTTCCCGCGCACCGGCGGCGATGCACTTCCGCCACCGGTGGGCTACTCTCCGCGTGCCTTCGTAGATGATTACTGGAGGCTGTTGACGGCACCAACGGCGCACTGCATCGGTAACCTCGTAGTCGGACGCATACCGCGTACCCTTCGGATGTTCCTTTATCTTGACAAGCAGCCAAAAGTCTCATGGCGCGAGGTCCGGGCTCTAAGGCGAAGGAGGTAAAACATCTTGGGATTGCAGCCCCTTCAGCGCGGCGTTGGTCTCGTCAAATGTCGCCCTCAATGATCCAACGACGGCTTGCGCACTGCTAGTGGAAGTGCATCGCCGCCGGTGGAGACTACATTGAAAAGCTCTGTGCTCCTGGGAAAGATGAAGGGGTTTCAAACTTTCATTTGAATGAAACATCTTTCGACCCCATCACTAAATAAAAAGCTATACAGTCAAGGAGGCGAAACTTATTGCTCTCCCCTCGTAGTTTCGTTTGACAAAAACATGGCTTTCGGCAAAAGTTTGTAATAACGAGCTCTTTAATTGCCGGAAACTTTACAATCGTTGTAGGATTATTCAAATTGGCATATCTGGTGGGGGCGTTTTGTTGGCCGTAGTCAACTCATTTGTTTCTTTTAATGTGCCAATTGCTTGGGCTCTTGAAATTATTTTGGAGTCTGTTTCTTTACATACACAACTGGGTAATTGGAGCTTGTCACCGCCTCCCATCAAAATGTTCCAAAATTTTTTAATGTTCTGCACGACTGTATCAACTAAATGACTGTACGGTTCCCTGGTTAGCCTACTATAATTTTGATGACCGCCATTAATATGTGTGTCCCTCTTCTATTCCATTTACAACTGGAGCAAGCGATTTTATTACGTTATGCTCGGATTTTAACTTCGTTCAACTAGTTATATTCTCGACAAGAGTAACACCGTCTTTGTCATCTTTGTTGTAGGAATTCGCGTACCGCCGCCGATACGCCAGGCCAGATCCCACGTGGTCCGTCAACAACCGAAGTCCTGCCTGGTTCTTTCACGGGAGCGGGATTCCGCTCCCCGTTTGTTGGTACAATAAAACAAAACGCGACATTACACACATATTTACAAACGCACGTTAAGCCCAAAGCTAAACACAAAGAAGGCCCCCAGGTCTCGTGTCCCGCGATTACCCTACATCCGGTCGCCCTACACTTCCCTGGTCTCGGTACCGTCCGAAGTTTTCAGAGGCCTTTCGCCCCACCGAGTATATCTCGATCGATGGGCGAGGTGGTTTCTTCTCTCCCGCCACGGGGCGCCTGCAGCGCCATCCAGTGGCTAGGAGAGAAAGCGGCACGTCGGGAGCCGAATTCGAGATCCCGATCGACCCCGCGGCGACACGACCATGTGATCGTGTCTGAGGCGAGGCAACTGCATAGCTGCCTCGCGGCCAAGATTGGCAGAGTGGTTTGATGGGCGCCCTCGTGAATGCACGGTGCGCCGTACTGTTAGACGTATGCAAAGCTTACTACTCACCCCGGCACCATTTCATCAGTATGTTATCTGCCCAATCTTAGTGACCATGTGTTACCTCACTTTACTCTTAGAATTACACTGAAATAAACAATATTTTCTCAGAGAGCCCGTATGGGACACATTTATTTCGAGAATTTTTCAACGATTTTATTTTGTAGCAGTAATTGCGTTGTTAGACAGAATTAAGGGGGGAGGGGGGATAGCCCTGCTCTGGGCCAAGCTCATAACCAAAGGTGTTTAGCTAGCTAAGTACCATTTCTCGGCTCTCATTGGCTGGAGAGATGATTGACGCGTGAAATGTTGATTGTAAAAGCGTTTCTCCGTGCCGTAATAGCACTATTTTTATCGACAATATTTTCATGTCTTAAAAGCAGAAATATCTATATAGAGTCCTTATTGCTAAGAAACATGGCTGCCGGCGTTTGCGCTCCTTGAACTCGTTTCATTTTTATGAGTGCAAGTCGTTCTGCGTTCCCCGAGTGTTTAGAGGATGCTCTCCTGAACCGACCCAGTTTGCAGCAAGCAACTGTCGCAGGTAGGCGTCTTAGGAAGCGCTGTGTGCGGGTGCTTCTTTTTTGTAGCACGACTGGCCTAAGCATAGCGCCCCACGTCAACTATGTAGCTTTGTTTTCGTATGCGTGTGTTGATGCTGAATAAAGCGTGGCTTAGAGTGGACCGTGACCTCCACCTACATTTCGTCCAATGGCGTAAATATGCCGTTAAACGTATTAAAAAAAAAATGTTTTTTTTTGTGGAAAAATTACAAAAGACGCTACGTGTCCAATTGATGGCCACTAAGAAAAGCTTTATTTTTGTAATTTCAATGCCTTTTCATTATGACGAAATTCTCTCCATCATCAACGTTAAAATGCATAAGATATTTTAGCAAAGCGGAATTTATCTGAATAAACCAAGAACTACGCCCATTTCTTGATCTAAATGTAGAAGTATTTGCTAATAGCTCAGTTAAAACAAATTGGAATATTTTAAAATTTATTTTTCTTCTTTAACAAAAAATATATTAAATAAAAAAAAGTTCTTAATCACGCAAACGCGCCTTAGTATAACATAACTCTTAAAATAATATATAACAAATATAATAGATTGTTTTGAGAAGCAAAACTCAGGCCAGAATGTTCCCGCTGAAATGCTATCAAGCTTTCACTGAGAGGTGTAGTGGATTAGTTACAATGCGAAGTAAATTATTTTAGCCAACATACTTTTATGACGCTAATAATCCTAAACAATTTGGGAGCACTGTTAACAACAGTGACAATGGGAAGTTATTTTTTATCTATGCCGGCGGGCAAACCATATCTGCCATTGAATGTGCCACAATATTGAACGTTTTTTGTCAAATTATTTTCAGCTCACGCTAATAGATCTGCTCCCTCGATACCTTCAAGTGACTTTTTACCAATGAACGCTGTTGCCATTGATGCAGTAGCTATTTCTGACATTATAGATGTACCTAAAATGTTATCATCTGCAGGTGTTGACAATAATAATTTAAGAAAAAAAAAAACAACACAAAAATGTACTGTTTTATAATTTCTTCTCGGCTACTTTCCCAATACAGTATTTTCCGGACTTTAGTCGGCGCCCGGTGCATATAGTTGGTACGCAAAGGCAAATCTGGGGCCAAAATAATTTTTTTTTTGCTTGGATGGACAGTACCTGGTGTATAGTCTGTACCACACTCTAAAAAAAAATGGAGGAAAAAGGTAGCAACGGCGCGTCTTCCTCCCTTCAACTGACGCGCCCCCAAGCGGACACGAGAAGAAGGGAGGAACGAGACGTTTTCCTCCTTCTCCAGGCAGACGGGAGAAAGCTTTCGCCCTCCCGACTCATCTTTCGGTTTCGTTTTTCGAGCACATCGCGCACGTTGTTTAATAAATTAATGTCGAGTTTATTGAGCTTCAGCGGCAGCAAAGCCCGCCTGTAATTCCGTCTTCTAGTCCAAACGTGCAGAACATTTCGGTTGCATTGACGTTTTTACCACTAATTTTATCAAACGAGCAAACGAGCCGCTATAACAGTGAAGTTCTGGAGGAGTGCCAGCAGCGCTACATACACTGGGTAAGACGGCCGTCTCCGATTTCCGGGACACGCGAAACTACAGTAGCGAAACCATGAGGAACTGTGTCGACGTTTTCGACGTTATGGAAATCGCAGGAACTACGTCCAAGGCAGGCAAGTTTTCCTGCCGGCTGCCTGGACAACAGAACCCAACTCAGCCTTCCGTGCTGAGTTCGGTTCTGTTGTCCCGTG